CCGAGAGCTTGGGGCTCCTGTGGCATTTGGGATGTACTGGTGCAGGCAGGAGGAGCATCCCTGCCATGGCACCAGCAAGGCGGACTGGAGGTAGCGCCTTTGGGGACAGCCTGCCAAAGCCACGCCCAAGCTGGCCCTTGGCCCCGGTGAAGGGCAGAGCTGTGTACCCTCCTCGGATGCAGGTAGAGAGCAGGGACTAGACGAGGCAAGTGGAAGAGAAAGTGTTTGCTTGCTGCTGGGGCACCTGGATCCAGCACTGCTGCCGCAGAAAATACCCAGGGGTGCACATCTGATCCCAGTTGACGTGGGCAGGGGTTGAGCTGGCAGATATATAAGAGGCTTTGTTCTTTGCTATCAATCCTCTGAGCCAGCCAGCCCTGCGCCCGGAGCATGGGGAAGATAATAGCTCCCTGGCTTACGGTGCCCACAAGATCTCACGCCCTGCAATCTGCAGGGATCAGGGTCCACGTAGCTCCTTGAACCGCTTAGTTTCTCTCTGCCTGGAAGCTGTCATGAAGTTGGGCCCTTGCACAGGGGGCTCAGGACTGCCAGCAAGAGGAGATCTCTGCTGGCTCAGCTTGGCCTGGTGACCCAGCACAATGCGGGGGGCAGCATCCCCTGCCTGGGACTGGGACAGCCCAGCACACCCTGCCCAGCCTCTTGCCCTCCCCAGGTTTCTGGGGCTGGGTGAGAACCTGGGACACAGGCAAGCGGGAGGGGTCTGGGGGCCAGCTGGGGCTCTTCAGCCTGGTGGCCCATCCTTAGGTGACATCTCCCCAGTGCCATGATGGTTTTTAGGAACAGCGGCCAACTGACTCAGTCCCCTCCGATAATGACACCTTGTGTTGGCTGGTGCCACTCAATTGCGGTTGCTCTTGGTGGCTGTCTGCCCGTGTCGCAGGGTCTCCTGGATTGTTGCACCCTTGGGCTGGTCCCCAGGGTGCGGGGCTGGGTGAGGATGCTGCCAGGCGGGGCCCCGCACCTCTGCCTCGTGCCCAGCCTTTCTGCCATGGCTGGGAGGTGACACTGGCGCCTGGTGTTGTTGCAAGCTGGGCAGGAGGGCTGGGCTGAGACCCTGTCTTGGAGATAAGCTCGAGGGTCAGTGGCACTGGATATATAGAGAGAGATATATATATCTGGTTGCATCTGTGCGCTTTGACTCAGAGGGAGGGTTGGCAGCCTCACAGCTCTGTTGGGGAGCGTTATTTCTGTTATGTGAGTAACCTCCTGAGCCTTCAGCGGGGTGGCACCTCTCTGGCTGGCAGGGTGTGAGCTCTGGTCCAGCTGCCTCTGCTCCCTGATGTGGGACTTCCCACTTCCAGAGGTGGTCTGGGCAGCCTGTCTCTGCCTGGGGCCGGTTGGGAAGAGCACAGTCCCTGGTGCCTTCTACCGTGGGGGAGCTCAGTCTTCTAGGAGTCTTCACTTGGTGCTCGGGGCAGGAGCAACTTAATTTGCCAGTACCAGGGAGGTAATGGTGACACCAGATCTTGCTGCTCAGGCGAGGGGAGCCTCAGGGAATGGGCAGGTTGCTGGCTAAGGCTGAGCAAAGAGGCAGCTCCTTTCCATGGGGACTTAATGACCGTCTGTGTGTGGTCATCACCAGCCTTTAACACTTTTTCTCCTCGCTCAGATGTCAGCCAGGATACCATGGAGAGAGATGCCACGGCCTCTCGCTGCCTGTGGAACACCCCCCCAGTGCGTACGACCACACCACGGCACTGGCTGTCGTTGCTGTCATCCTGTCCTCCCTGTGTCTCGTCATCATCGCAGCCCTGCTGATGCTCAGGTGAGCGGGATGGGGCTGAGACATTGGATCCATGATCCCAGGAACACCCCATGCAGGGGAGGGTGGCAGGGGCTTCATGCTCTGAGCAGCTCTTTGGCCTTACAGGTGTCACAAGAGGGGTGTCTACGATGTAGAAAACGAAGAGAAAATCAAGCTGGGCATCACTGTGAATCACTGAGGATGCCAGGTGCTAGCGAGGTGAGCCCCTGTCCAGGCATGGGGCAGCAGTGGGGCTGGTGGGCACCTGAGGGATCTGCTTGTTCATGCTGGCTGGGACCGCTGTGTGGATCCTGTGCCAGCGGCAGGCAGGAGCTGGAGGCAGTTCAAGCCTAGAGAAGCAGTTTGCTGGATTTGGCTTGAGAGCCTGGGCTGCCCTGTGGGGCTCCAGCCCTCTTTCTTCCCCTTCCTGCTCAAGCCCCTGTCCCTCAACACCCCCAGCCACCCACCACCTCCATCTTTCTAACCTGGAGTCCCTGCTTTGCCCTGTCACTGCATGCTTTGGAGATGTTTGACAGTGGGGAAGCTGCTTCTCCCCCCCCCCCCCACATGCTTGTTGTGCTCCTTCTCTGACCCTCTGAGTCACTTCCCCTCCTTAGATATTGCCTCTATTTATATAGATATAAAAAACCCACCCTTCCTTTCCACTCCCACTCTGCTTATTACTTGCACCAACGTAATGCCTTGCAGCTGGGCACGGGGGGATCTTGCTGCCAGCCCCACGCAATGCTACTCTGGCTGCACGGGGGGGTGTGTTCTGCCCCAGGGGTGGTTATGTGGTCATGGCTGGGTGCTGGAAAGCTTGCAGACTTCCTCTGATCTGGTCCAAACTCTGACGTTAGATGTGCCTATACGTCTTACAGCTACTTCTCCTTTCAAAAAAAAAGAAAAATCTTTGTTCTTTGTGAGGATGAAGTAATGCCTTAAAAGACTTTCTCTCATGTTGGGGGTGGTTTTATCTGTTTATAGGAGCTGAATTTTGGGGGAGGGGATTCAGCACAAAGCTTTCATCACTGTGCTCTCTGCCCTGGAGATCATTGGGATGTATGTGTCCAGGGGGAAAAGTGCTGTGGTCCCTGGAAGGGAAGTGTGGTGGACATGGAGCGGAATGCTTAGCCACTGCTCCCCTGGCATCCTGGCTCCCACCCTCCCCAGTCCAGCCCTGCGAGGCGGCGAGTGGCTGCTGCTGCTGGGGCTTTGGTGGCCACGTGGGCTTTCCTGCCAGGCTGGGTGGGACTGGCATCGTGGCCCCAGCATGCAGGAATGGCTCCACGCAGGAACAGGGCTGGGTTGTGAGCTCTCCCGCTCTCTTGCAGGGGTCGGCACTAAGGCACATCTACCTCCTGGAAGAGGCGAGAGCCACGGAGCCAGCGCCGTCCCTGGAGCCCACAGCGTGGTGGGAGCTCGCTGGAGCAGCAGGACAGCGTGGATGCTTCGTGGCCATCTCCAGGATGGAGGGGGCTTGGGAAAGGTGCTCACTGGCCGGCGGCTGGGAGGAGGCAGGAGGGACTGCCGCCGGCAGACGGGCTCTCCAGCAGCTCCCCGTCCACTGCAGTGCATGCCGACGAACAAACTGTGAAAGGCGAGGAGACCGGGCTCGGGGCTTTCTTAGGCACAGGAGGGGTGGGAGGGTAACAGCTATTTAACAAGATATTTTTCATTTTAAATTATATATTTATTTTAGATAAACTGTACATAGTATTTATATTTATTGTAGGTCTGGCCCTGCATCTTTTATGTACGTCGAGATGATAGGGTCAGACCTCCCTCATTTTTTAAGTGCAATGTAATATTCTAATAAATAACACTTTGTTACAAACACGGGTTGTTGATTTAACGGTGGAGGTGGTGAGGAGCCAGACCTCTGAAGACTGCTTGTAGCGACAGGCCCTTGCGAGTGGGGCACTGCAAACAGCGGCAGAGATCCTGAAGGCACGGCGGGGGTTGCTGGATCGGCTTGTGCCACCCGTGGGGTGTAGCAGGGCAGTGGGGTACAAAGGGCGGGTGGGGGGATCTGTCCTGCAGGAGCCTGCAGCCATGTCAGCCCAGCTGTGTTTCTTTGCCAGCTGATGCCTCAGCAGTGATGTGAGGTTTGGGTGTCTGCTCATCAAGCAAAGCTGCCTCCAGTATGAATGAAGCCACTCTGGCCACTGATGGATCCAAATGAGAACCGATTTCTGGTTTTAAGCCAGCATTTGGCTAAAAAAAAAAAAAAAAATCAAGAGGGGGACTCACACCTCCCTTGCAGGGGATCCCAGCAGTTCCTAGGGTGGCTGCAGGCTCGTGGGGCTTGGGTCATTTCAGTGAGCATCATTTCAGGTGGTGGTTCAGGACGGATTCTTGACTTCTCAGTAAGAATAACCCCCAAACCACTTCTTTCCTCTTCCCTGATCTTTCCCAGGGGGAGCTGAGGTCAGGGTGAGATGCTGGCTCTAGTAGGAAGCCTTGAAGCAGAGAGAAGGGGCTTCCCCCCTGCAGGAAACCTGCTTTCCTCCTACCCCTTCCCCTTCAGGAGATGTCAAACTCCGGTTCTCAAAGGGGAGTGCCAAGCTACCGCTTTCCACTCTTGCTCCTACGATGTGCACTAAAGCCAGACGGCAAGTCGTTTGCAAAGCTTTCTGGTCAAAATTTATCTCTAGCAAAGTATGAGACAAGCTTTATGCGCGCTGAGGAAGGTGTTGCTTAGGAAGTGAGGGTGTAGCTTCATCCCTCTTGTGCAGCAGTCAGTTTTGCAGTAGCAAAACCTGGGGTGTGGGAAGGGGGAATGCAGCTTTCCAGTGCTTCCCGAGATAGTAGGGCTAAAGTGTGTGGCCATGGCAGATGGGAAGCAGGGGTGTGACAACAGGAATGCTCATGGGGAGCAAAACCCCCAGCACCTGCAGTGTCCTGAGTTCCAGAGCCAGGGAAACAAGTCGCTGGCTCTGCTTTGTGCAAACCTGAACCACAATGCTGTGGGAGTGCCAGTTCAATCAGAGACTCCAAATTTAGGCCTTTTTCAATGTCTATTGAGCAAATCATGCTTCCACCTGCTGCACAGGAGCCCCTTCTGCGCTGGGGACTCCTGGCTGCATCCCTGCCTTGCTGCGCTGCTGCTGCCCCCCCCTCCCTGCTCCAGCCCTCCTGCCTTCCATGGGGGGCAGCCTGGCACGTCTGCGGTTCCACGCTGCCCTGGCGGGCACTGGGAGCAGCTCTGCTGGGAGGCTTTTCTGCAGGCAGCTGGAACTTCTGCCTGGAGCCCAGGGGCCCTCTGCTCTCCCCCTTCCCTGCGAGGGCATGTTCTGGTCCCCTTTGCACCTCTGCAGGCCAGCAGCATGGGCTGGGATGCCTGCGGGTGCTAATTTAACAGGCCAAGAGGTGGGAAATGTGTTTTGGAGATAGAGGGAGCGGGAAGCTGGCTTGATCAGGGGGCTGGCTCCCTCTGCCCCACCGGGCTGGGAAAGGCTGACAGTCCTACAGACGTCCGCTTCCTGGCTAAGGCAGGGGTGAAGTTCCCAGGGTACCTCCCTGGGCAGCTGTGCTTGTGGCTACAAAACAGAAGGTGCCCCAGAGCCTGGGGCGTGCGGGCCTCTGCCCTACCCAGGGTGCCCTCACCCTACAGGGGGAG